CCCTCCTTGACTTTGAAAAATTATGAAATATATATATAACTTACAACCCACCGTTACGGTCCCCCACTTAAATTGCGGGTGCTTAGATGGAGAATCGAACTTGGGACCATGTGCCTATCTACACTATTTCCAATTCATTTTAACTATCTAGACTACTTACAGATGAGTCATATCAAAATATTCAAGTTAGGAAAAGAAAGATAAATATAAAAAAATATGTATTTTGATGCATTATTTTAAAAGCTCGAAACATAAAAGTGAAATTACAACAAAAAGTTAACATATTTTACTATAAAAGCTAGATAAATCTTTGAATATTTTGTTAGTAGAACTTTTACTGTAATTTAATTTGGAGGTGTTGTTATTTGTGTTGACTTAATAACTTGTTTATTAGTAAATTTTCTTGGTTTTGTTTTACCCTCGATAAAGTATTATAAATTTATTCTATATTGTTCGTTAAACACAATTATATATATATTAATTATAAAGAACATTACAAATAAATACTCATATTTTTGTATAACTTATACCCAATATAAAATATTTATTATATGTTTATTTACAATTATATTTTTAAGTTTAATTAACGTGTTGACTCCCCTAGAATGAGTTTCTGGCTATGTCCTTGATGGAAACATATTTTAGGACTATGCTTGTATTCTAGGAAGATAATTGTGAATCATAAGTAAGAAAACAATCAGTAGAAAAATGCAAGAATGACAAATAATTTCACATTCAGAACAATGACATAGATAAAAACAATGCAACTCTGGTGTGCAGAATGAAATCGCACAGGAATAAGTTTTGCATCTGCCCTGGCGGTTCCCAAGTTAATAGTGTTTGCATTGCTGATTGAATAACATACATGAACTCTTACCATTCACAAGAACAAATAATTTTCTCATAATGGGGATCCCTATTTTCTTGAAAACAGATATCTAAATATTTCAAAGTTGTTTAGATCTAAATACCTGACTTCTAATCGGTTTTGCTAAGCATGAAATGGTGTTTCTGTCTGCAATTATCTTGTTTGACCAATGACTTGCCATTCTTGATTGAAAGATATTTTCCGTGATACTCAACGAGGATAATGTTTCTCAACTGAAGACCATTCTTAAAGGCCTATCAAATACTAAAAACAGTCAAGGTAAATAAATATTAAAAAATCTTTTTGTAATTGAATATTGTAAATAGTGTTTTTTAATACATTATCTTCAGAGGGGATAACTACCATCATCAACTTTGATCAAATTAAAATAATGATCAGAAACTCTGTACAATCTCCAAAGGCAATGAGCTCATCAAGTGCCCAATATCAGCCAAACTCATGAGTCTAAAAGAACTTCTTCTTCATCCTCTGGGAATAACTCCTTATAAAACTTATTATCTTCTAACCCATCGAAGAATGTTGTCAAATCTTCTTCACTGCCGTTCGAAGGAGGGTCTTCATTAACAATTGAATTTGTTCCAGTTTCACTCTTGGTTGCACTACCATCATCAACTGTTATCCAAAAAGACGATTGTACTTATTCTTCTTCCTCTGGGAATAGCTCCTTATAGAACTCATCATTTGTAAAATCTTCGCCGCTTCCATTAGAAGGAGGGTCTTGACCTACACTTGAATTTGTAGCATTTTCTGTCTCTGTTCCATTACCATCATCAACTGTCTAAAAAGAGGACTGTACTTGTTCTACATCAAGAAATTCAACCAAATCAGACTGCTGAAATTTGTAATAATCGTTTTATAATTAAGTAAATGGCTTGAAATAGAGATAACTAGCCTTCCAAAATAAAGCTTTTGTTCATCGTTATTCCATCTCCGAAATGGAAAAGAAAGGGAAAAAGAAAGAAACCTACAGAAGATGGAGGGAAGGAAGAAGATAAATCATTGCTGAGTACAAAAGATTTCGAGGAAAGAGGCATCGAATTGATCCAAACTGGACCAGTTTTGAATCTTTATTGGTGGTTGCAGATTTGGCTTCTTTGAAATTGGAAGAAGATCACTTGGAGAAGAAGAAGAAGAAGAAGAAGCAGAAGCAGAAGCAGCCGCCTGTCAAGAGTAATGGGTTCTTGAAACTTGATAAAGGCAAAAACAAGAGTACTTCAGGAATTTGTGCAGCTGGGATGAAAAGAGTGCAAGATTGCTCAAAGAAAAGGATCTCAAGAACCCATGAAAGAAGAGAATTCTAGCGCCAGGGTTTCGCCTCGGAAACTTCTCGGTGATGCCATGAAAAGCCGAGAGTTTTCGACGACGACGGAGAGTTCTTGAAACTTGGTAAAGGCAAAAACAAGAGTTCTTCAGGAATTTGTGTGGCTGAGATGAAAGAGACAAGATTGCTCAAAGAAAGGATCCAGGACCCCCATGAAAGAAGAGAATTCTAGCGCAGGGTTTCGCTCGAAGGGTCGGAAACTTCTCGGTGATGCCAGAAAAGCCGGAGAGTTTTCGACGACGACGGAGAGTTCTTGAAACTTGTAAAGCAAAAACAGAGTGTCTTCAGGAATTTGTGTGGCTGATGATAAAAGAGATCAGATTGCTCAAAGAAGGATCTCAGACCCCATGAAAGAAGAGAATTCTAGCGCTAGCGTTTCGCGCGAGGTCGGAAACTTCTCGTGTGATCCATGAAAACCGAGGAGTTTTCAGCGACGAAGAGCTGGAATTATCGACGAAGAAGAAGTTAAAAGGAGAATCAACTTGATTGATATCCCGGAAAGTTTGAAGGAATATACGAAAAGAAGCAGAATGGTACTGAAATAAGCGGCTAATACAGGAACCTTTGCACTTTCGGGATGTTTATCAGAACAGGTTGTCCATTCCTGTGAATCAGGTAGAGCAAGAGTCTTGACTCCAGAAGAAAAGGAGATTGTTGAGAAAGCAGGCAAGCTGATAGTGTTCTTATTGAGCCTTCACTTGAAGTTTGTGAAATGTTTTGGCGAATGGAAGGATGTATGTGCTGAAACAGGATGGAACAATGTTAAAGCTCGGAATGAGCTTAAAGAAGGTGAGAAGTCCAAGTATGGTCGTTCAGGTCCTCGGAAAAGCTTTCTCTTGCCCTTGTCATTCTTCAGAGAAACTGATAAGAAGGTGGTTGACAACGTCTTGGGTAAGACAAGTTATCATCTTATCGTGTTATATATTCATTCATTAAGATTAGTCTGTAGTTATATAGAAAATTTCGTCATTATTCTGGAAATCCTCAATCTTCCATGACATTGACTGTATGTCTTGACCTGGTTTCATTCTTAATTTTAATTTGAGTGGTTCTCCAAGTCCTAATCTCGTCACAAGTGCAAACTTGGGGTGAAAATCTAATATCATTCGTTTTCAGCTCTAAGCAGTATGTTATGGCATAACTTCCCGTAAAATTGTATTTTTTATTTCCAGCAACGGCATAAAGTTAACTTCGTCTTGATGTCTTCAAATACTTCAAGCCTGCATTTATTTGTAACTATCCCGATAGTGGTGGACATCTACAGAAGTAACAAATCCTTGCTGACAGACACCATCTTAAACGGATGAAAGCCCTAAACCTAATTTGATATAGAGCCTTTATAAATATAGCTTTTTTTGTAAAGTTCTCAAAAATAGATATAATTAAAGAAATCTATTTTTTTTTGGATAAAAACAATCTTGTTCAATTGGGAAAGCCCTAATTGCACTGAATACTGAAACCAAATGGTATATAACTTTTCACTGTTACATGATAAGGATACCTTAGACCCTAAGCAATTGATAATAACTATTATTAGATAGAATAAAGTAGTAAATTAATTTAAATAATAAATTGTCTAACGGCCTTCTGTATACTATAATAATGGTTATCAATACTGAAAGCTCGACCAGAATCCAACAAAACATTCACAAAAGGATTTTTTTTTTTTTTTGGGATCGGGGTGTTTATACTATTTATGCACAACTCGACTAATCCTTGAAGTCCATGAATGTACTATAAATCCAATGGGCCAGATAAGTGGCCATTTGGTGGGACTCGAACATATATCGGTCACAATCAAGTGATTAGATGGGTCAGATAAGTTAAAATATGATATATGTGATAGAGGGCCAGATAAGTTACAAGATGATATATGATATCTTGTCTTTTAGCTAGGACCAATTTATTACAAACAGTGTCGTTTTGAAAAAGAAAATATGTACCAGTAATAAATAACGCTTTGCCGCCACAAATCCAGAAAATCGACCTATTTTGACTCTCTCATCCTCTCAACAGTTCTTACACCAGAAATTTTCCAAGAAATACTTTCCCGGAGAAAGCCTCTGATTTTCCAAAGAATTTCCCAACACCTCCCCCCTCCCTATTTGACGTTTCTCTTTAACCCAAGCTTAAGAGAGCCTTCCATATTGGAGGCACTCTCTTAGACTTCTGCCACATAGGTTAATAAACTTATAATTCCCAACTCAAGTCTTCTCAGGTATACATTACTTCTTAGTTCTCTCACTCTACATTCACATTTAGTTGATGAAAGTTAATTAGTTTAAGATTCTTCAACTTTCTCACTACTTAAGCATTTCTGAAGCCTGAAATGCACATTGAATGACAAGTATGACTTACAGTCATTAGTTTTTGCACTGATTTTTTTGTACATGAAAATGCTAGTTGACTATGATTTCTTGTTACCTTTCACTAGTTAGTGCACTTCAGTCATACCACTGTAAAGACGACAACATTCCACATAGTAAATTGGCAGAAGTGCTGAAATTTTTTTTTCTGCAGAAATAAGTATAGATAAAGTAGAAACACGTTGATAGAAAATTATGCATTAGTTTCAATCTCAGTATCTGGTCACTTGACATTTTTCCTTGTATATCATTCTAAAATAATCTCAAATGCTAGCCTCTTCCAAAAGAGGCTTCTCTATTTCATCTTACAACTTTTCTGGTATAAGTTCTGCCACACTGGGCCGCAGAAACAAGTTTCCAGTCCTCAACTGAGGCGAATTCGGCTGGCCGAACGACTCCCAGGGAGAAGCAGTAGTCATGTTTGCTACTTCCTCAACCATATCCGGAACTCCCCAAGTGTTGTTCTACAATTGTTAATGGAGTACTTCTGTTGCTTGGCACATCTGTTCATGAAGTTATCATTCTTATCAGCATCTTGAATCTGATTAGTCTTTTTCAATTTGTGTTGCACACCACTAGTGAAAGGATCATCCAGCGCTTGAGAAGGCAAATAATACATTCTCCTATCGACTGCTGTCCAACAAAGAGGCGGCGGAACATAAAAGCATCTCTGGAAGAAAGGATGCTGCAAGGCCTCTGCAGCAGTTGGCCTCTTGCAAGGATCCCAGGAACAAAGTGATTCGATAAGGCTGACCGCGTCTTTACTCACCGAAGGCAGGAACACAGAGAGATTCAAACCGGTTAACTCCGGAAATCGGTAGTTAATAGACCTTGCTTGACAAAGTCCATCAGCCCAAGAATCCTCAGTAGGACTCCCTATCACACTGCATATTTTGTACATTTCATCTCCCTCATTAGCCCCCGGAAAGAGAGGACTAAGTGTGAATAGCTCAACCATTATAGCTCCCATTGCCCACATATCAACTTTAGAGCTATAAAACTGTGAGTGAAGCAACACCTCCGGGGCTCGATACCAGCGCGTCGAGACATACTCCGTGTACGGTGGACATGAATCAATCTCCCTTACAAGACCAAAATCAGCAATCTTGATCACATCTTTCAGAACAAGCAAGTTCTCAGGCTTCAGGTCCCGGTGGAAATATCCATTCTGGTGTAAGTAATTCAGACCCTGGAAAACTTGAAAACACAGCCTCCGAACTTCGGCTTCAGAGAAGAGATTCTTTCTGTCTTTCATTAGTTCATAAAGGTTACAATCCATGAACTCAAACACAAAGTATAGAACATCGTTTTCCTTCACCAGTTCTTTGAGCTTCACAATGTTAGGATGATTCAGTTTCTGCAGTGACTTCACTTCCCTCAAATTCTTGCATTCCTCCCAGGATTGATACCTCTTCGTCAACGCTTTGATCGCCACAAGTTCTCCAGACTGCTTATTGACAGCTTTCCATACGCTTCCGAAAGCTCCACTGCCAATTTCTTTGATGAAATTGTACCTCTCCATGGTTACTTCCAGAACAAGTAACCACACGAAACAGATGCTTCTTTACTCAAGAAAAGCTCACAGGAGAACAAACCCAGAAATTTTCTGACGCTGCTCAAGCTTTGAAGCCTTTACAAAATCCACAGCCTCCATAGTGAAATCTTTCCCGGAAGAAGAGATTTCTAAACTTTCTCAAGAAACCCATGAAGAGCAACGAGAGAAAGATGTTTAAGAACTAAAATCTAAGCAATTTTCTCAGGTGAAGTAATATATATTTAGTTTGAAGACAGTATCCGAACAACATAAGGATTGTATTTATATTGAATCCTGGAGTTATTTAACTTGAAACGAAAGTTTTCTGAATGGAGAATATCTCATTTATCACCCCTGAGTTTTGAAAATTGACTTCTTAACACCATGTTTATTCAACTAATGGTTGTTTTACTATTTTGCCCTTTTTTAAACATGATACTTTATTATCCGGAGTTACAATAATGCAGAATTTTTTCTTTTTTAAAACTTTTAAAGAGATTATACTGTACTAATTTCTTGATTAAAAAAAAAAAGTATCTAATTAAATTTTATTTCCAAAGGAAATATAATTAGAATGTTTTCTAACGTAAATCAGGACATAAATAAATACATTAATCCAACTCTAATAATTACTCGTCGATAAAAAAATTAATTATATGGTGCAGTTTATTTAAGTAGAACTTATGAAAGTAGCGGTTATTAGAATATAGTTTTCGAAAATAATTTTCAAATCAAACTCTTTATGAATTACAACTAAACAACATTACAACAATTTTTTCGTTTTTTTTTTTTTTTTTATTTATATATAAAGAGTTTCACTTAAATGAGCTCTTTTAATTTATAGATAAGCTCAACCAATCAGACTGCTGAAATTTGTACTAATTCGTTTTATAATTAGTTAATTGGCTTGAAATAAGAGATGAACTAGCCTTCCAAAATATAAACCAGCTTTTGTTCATCTTTATCCATCTCCGAAATGAAAAGAAAAGGGAAAAAGAAGAAACCTACAAAGATGGAAGGAAGGAAGAAGATAAATCATTGCTGATTACAAAGATTTCGAGGAAAGAGGCATCGAAATTGATCCAAACTGGACCAGTTTTGAATCTTTATTGGTGGTTGCAGATTTGGCTTCTTGAAATTGGAAGAAGATCACTTGAAGAAGAAGAGAGGAAGCAGAAGCAGCCGCCTGTCAAGAGTAATGGTTCTTGAAACTTGATAAAGGCAAAAACAAGAGTACTTCAGGAATTTGTGCAGCTGTGATGAAAAGAGTGCAAGATTGCTCAAAGAAAGGTCTCAAGAACCCATGAAAGAAGAGAATTCTGCGCCAGGGTTTCGCCTCGGAAACTTCTCGGTGATGCCATGAAAGCCGGAGAGTTTCGACACGACGGAGAGTTCTTGAAACTTGGTAAAGGCAAAAACAAGAGTTCTTCAGGAATTTGTGTGGCTGATGATGAAAGAAACAAGATTGCTCAAAGAAAAGGATCTCAGACCCCATGAAGAGAAGAATTCTAGCGCCGAGGTTTCGCACGAGGGTCGGAAACTTCTCGGTGATGCATGAAAAGCCGAGAGTTTTCGACGACGACGGAGAGTTCTTGAAACTTGGCAAAGGCAAAAACCAGAGTTCTTCAGGAATTTGTGTGGCTGATATGAAAAGAGAGCAAGATTGCTCAAAGAAAGGATCTCAGGACCCCCATGAAAGAAGAGAATTCTAGCGCCAGGTTTCGCCTTGGAACTTCTCGGTGATCCATGAAAAGCCGGAGAGTTTTCGACGACGACGGAGAGTTCTTGAAACTTGATAAAGCCAAAAACAAGAGTGCTTCGAATTTGTGTGGCTGCTGATGAAAAGAGATCAAGATTGCTCAAAGAGAAGGACTCAAGAACCCATGAAAGAAGAGAATTCTAGCGCTAGCGTTTCGCCGCGAAAGGGTCGGAAAATTCTCGGTGATGCCATGAAAGCCGGAAGTTTTCAGCGACGAAGAGCATGGAATTTATCAGCAGAAGAAGAAGTTAAAAGGAGAAGTCAACTTGATTGATATCCCGGAAAGTTTGAAGAATATTCGAAAAGAAGCAGAATGGTACTGAAATTAGCGGCTAATACAGAAATCTTTGCACTTTTCGGATGTATATCAACAGTTGTCCATTCCTGTAATCAGGTAGAGCAAGAGTTTCTGACTCCAGAAAAAAGGAGATTGTTGAGAACAGGCAAGCTGATAGTGTTTCTTATTGAGCCTTCACTTGAAGTTTGTGAAATAGTTTTGGCGAAATGGAATGGATTGCATGTGCTGATACAGGATGGAATAATGTTAGCCGGAATGAGCTTAAAGAAGGTGACGAAGTCCATTATGGTCGTTCAGGTCCTCGGAAAACTTTCTCTTGCCCTTGTCATTCTTCGAAGAAGCTGATAAGAAGGTGTTGACAACGTCTTGGGTAGACAAGTATATCATCTTATCGTGTTATATATTCATTATTAAGATTAGTCTGTAGTTATATAGAAAATTTCGTCTATTATTCTGGAAATCCTCAATCTTCCTGACATTGACTGTATGTGCTTGACCTGGTTTCATTCTTTATTTTGAGTGGTTCTCCAGTCCTAATCTCGTCACAAGTGCAAACTTGTGCGGTGAAAATCTAATAGTCATTCGTTTTCAGCTCTAAGCAGTATGTTATGGCATAACTTCCCGTAAAATTGTATTTTTTTCATTTCCAGCAACGGCATAAGAGTTAACTTCGTCTTGATGTCTTCAAATACTTCAAGCCTGCATTTATTTGTAACTATCACCAGATAGTGGTGGACATCTACAGAAGTAATCAAATCCTTGCTGACAGACACCATCTTAAACCTGGATGAAAGCCCTAAACGCTAATTTGATATAGAGCCTTTATAACATATGCTTTTTATTGTAAAGTTCTCAATAAATAGCATGGTTGTTAGTATCCTACGATACCTGATACGTATCATACGATACGATTTGATACAGGTCGCTAACGATACGTATCAGAGAGTGTATCCTAAACCATTCGATACGTTGATATGTATCCTACGATATGATACGTATCCGTTCGTATCCTTAAAAATATCGATATAAATCGATACGACTTTATTAATTTGGGCTAAATGTCCAAAAAAAAATTCGGGTCGAAACCGGCTTACCCAACCCGATTCATCAAAACCTGTCCAAATTTACCTATTTTGCATGGAGAAAGTGAAGAGGAATATGTATTGCTCATTTTACATGATAATAATAATATAAGTGGAGATATAGATATTGACATTGATCTTGGAATTTTGTGATTAATTTTGATTATGTAATACCGTAATTTAAAGCCAATAATACCACAAAATTCTTTAATTAATCTTGGGGATTATATTAATTTTTAGAAAATTTTGATTATTTTATTATTTTTTTTGAAAAAGACGTATCTTACGATACGATACGATACGCGATACACGATTCAAAAAATTAGGTTTTCGATACACGATACGATACACGATTTGATAACCATGATAAATAGACATAATTAAAGAAATCTATTTTTTTCTTGGATAAAACAATCTTGTTCAATTGGAGAAAGCCCTAATTTGCACTGAATACTGAAACCAAATGGTATATAACTTTTCACTGTTACATGATTAAGGATACCTTAGACCCTAAGACAATTGATAATAACTATTTAAGATGGAATAAAGTAGTAAATTAATTTAAATAATATTGTCTAACGGCCTTCTCTACACTATAAATTAATGGTATATCAATACTGAAATGCAACGACCAGAATCCAACAACATTCACCAAAAAGGTGTTTTTTTTTTTTTATGATCGAGGTATTCAGATTAGTTTATGCACAACTAGACTAATCCTCAAAGTTCATTGAATGTGCTATAAACCCAATGGGCCATATAAGTAGCCATTTGGCGGGGACTCGAACATATATTGGTCACAATCAAGTGGTTAAATGACCAAGTAAGTCACAAATATGATATATAGTTTTTTGTCTTTTAGCTAGACGGTTTTATTTTCACTTAAACAGTGTCGTTTTTGAAAAAGAAATATGTACCAGTAATAACTAACTTTGCCGCCAACAAATCCAGAAAATCGACCCTATTTTGACTCTCTCATCTCCTCCAACAGTTCTTACACCAGAAATTTTCCAAGAAAATACTTTCCCGAGAAAATGCCTCTGATTTTTCCAAGAATTTCCCAACACCTCCCCCCTCCCTATTTAACGTTCCTCTTTAACCCAAGCTTAAGAAGAGCCTTCCATATTGGAGGCACTCTCTTAGCCTTCTGCACATTGGTGTTTAATAAACTTATAATTCCCAACTCCAAGTCTTTTCAGGTATACATTTACTTTCTTAGTTTCTCTCACTCTACATTCACTATTTAGTTGATGAAAGTTAATTTAGTTTAAGATTCTTTCAATTTTCTCACTTACTTGAGCATTTTTGAAGCCTGAAATGCATCATTGAATGACAAAGTATGACTTTACTATCAGTTTGTGCACTGATTTTTGTACATGAAATTGCTAGTTGACTATGAATTCCTTGTTACCTTTAAATCTAAATATGGAGTTATGATTTTGCAGAAAATAGAAACTTATAAGAGGTCATGAGATCTTGTAATTAGATTAAAGAATCATCTTCATCAAATAGTAATTAGATAATAGAAAGAAATGCTCAATTCTTAGCCTTTTATGAAGTTCCTGATTTGTTCAATTCTGTCCAAGTTTGGCCTTTTTCTATCACATATGTTGTGTTATTTACTTTTTCTTTCTATTGTGCATTTAATTGTTTTCTATGCAATTGGGAATTTCTAACATTGTCAAAATGTATGTGTTGAAGTTGATTTCTAAGTACCATTGCCACTAAAAGAGTTCATCTTCTAATGAAGAATTAAATTCGAGTTGTTTGTTTGTCTCAATATGATTCTAGTTATATTCCACACAAGGATGTTTCTTCCCCTCAAGCTGGTGGAAATGGCTTAAAGAAT